GGTAGGTGTGTAGGTAGGTAGGTTGGTGTGTAGGTAGGTAGGTGGTGTGTGGTAGTGTAGGTGGTAGGTTGGGTGTGGTGTTAGGTAGGTAGGTTGTGTGATGTAGGTAGTAGGTTGGTGTGTAGTAGGTAGGTGTGTTAGGTAGTGGTTTGTGTAGGTAGGTAGGTTAGGTTGGTGGTGTAGGTAGGTAGGTTGGTGTGGTAAGGTAGGGTGGTGTGTAGGTAGGTTGGTGTGTAGGTAGGTAGGTAGGTTGGTGTGTAGGTAGGTAGGTTGGTGTGTAGGTAGGTAGGTTGGTGTGGTGGTAGGTAGGTAGGTTGGTGTGTAGGTAGGTTGGTGGTGTGTAGGTAGGTAGGTTGGTGTGTAGGTAGGTAGGTAGGTGGTGTGTGTAGGTAGGTAGGTGGTTGTGGTGGTAGGTAGGTTGGTTGTGTGTGTGTAGGTAGGTAGGTTGGTAGGTGTGTAGGTAGGTAGGTTTGGTGTGTAGGTAGGTAGGTGGTTGGGTGTGTAGTAGGGTAGGTTGGTGTGTGTAGGTAGGTAGGTTGGTGTGTAGGTAGGTAGGTAGGTTGGTGTGTAGGTAGGTAGGTAGGTTGGTGTGTGTAGGTAGGTAGGTAGTTGTGGTGTAGGTAGGTAGGTGGTTGGTGTGGGTAGGTAGGTAGGTAGGTTGGGTGTAGGTAGGTAGGTAGGTTGGTGTTAGGTAGGATTGTGGTAGTAGGTAGGTGTGTAGGTAGGTAGGTAGGTAGGTAGGTAGGTGTGTAGTAGTAGGTAGGTAGGTAGGTAGGTTAGGTAGGTAGGTAGGTAGGTGTTGGTAGGTAGGTAGGTGTGTAGGTAGGTGTGTAGGTAGGTAGGTAGGTAGGTAGGTAGGTAGGTAGGTAGGTAGGTAGGTAGGTAGGTAGGTAGGTGTGTAAGTAGGTAAGTGGTTTTTCTTTTATTTTGTAAGTGCAAGAATGCAGTGTTGTACACCCAACAATGGTAGGAAGATGGTCAGTGTTGTTTTCAGTGGTGGTGTGAGTGGCTGAGTCTGCATGCTCACTGCCCTCAACACTGGCTCTCCAGAGACCCAGAAAAATATTAACTACTTTGCACTTCATAGAAATGTGACAAATGTGAAGGATGATGGGAGTAAAATTTCTTGATAGCTTGTGATGCACTTTGGAAGTCTGAAACAAAGAATGATAAGGCAGACATTGTTACAATGTGGATGACTGCAGTAAGAACTGTACATAACTGCTGTGAAAATACTAGCAATTCTAATAAATGACCTTGGATAATTTATTTGGAGAAACAGCTGCATACCTGACACCACTGGGAAATAGTGTCATCATTGTATACTTCAAGAGCATGAGGATGAAAATGAGAATTATAAAGAGTGAATATAAAGGTGTAAGGGGCAAGTGAGCTTTTGCACATGGAAGTAGGGAGGAGCAAACATGAATATTTGGTACTTCCTAAGGAGGGAGGGAGAAGTAAGATGTAAGGTGAATGTAACAGGATGGTCAATTAAGGAATCCATGAGAGAATAAATAGAGAGGAAAGGTGTGTAACAGATTTTTTTATTTTATTATTGACACCAAAGGAGGGTGGCCCAAAAAAGAAAAACTTTCATCATTCACTCCATCACTGTCTTACAAAAAACATGCTTAAACTACAGTTATAAAACTGCAGCACTAACACCCCTCCTTCAGAGTGCAGGCACTGTACTTCCCATCTCCAGGACTCAAGTCTGGCCTGCTGGTTTCCCTGAACCCCTTCATAAATGTTACCTTGCTTACACTCCAACAGCATGTCAAGTCCTAAAAGCCATTTGTCTCCATTTGCTCCTATCTAACATGCTCACGTATGCTTGCTAGCAGTTCAAGCCCCTCATACATAAAACGACCTTTATCCTCTCCCTCCAACCTTTCCTAGGCCGAGCCCTACCCCAACCTTCCCTCCACTACAGATTTATACACTCTCGAAGTCATTCTATTTCGTTCCATCCTCTCTACATATCCAAGCCATCTCAATAACCCCTGCTCAGTCCTCTGGATAATATTTGCAACATCTGCCACACTGCACCCCTATCCACCCTATCATATATCTTTTCCAAATCCATAAATGCCACAAATACCTCTGTACCCTTATCTAAATACTATTCACCTACATATAGGTTTCAATGCAAACACCTGGTCCACACACCCCCTACCCTTCCTAAAGCTTCCTTGTTCATCTGCAATCCTACTCTCCATCTTACTCTTAATTCTTTCAATAATAACTACCATACACTAGCAGTTATACACAACAGACATATTCCCGTACAATTTTTACACTCGCTCTTTTGTCCCCTTTATATAAAAAAACTGTGCACGCTCTCTGCCAATCCCTAGGTACCTTACCCTCTTCCATACTTTTATTAAATAAAAACAATAACCACTCCAAAACTATATCCCTACCTGCTTTTAACATTTCTATCTTTATCCCATCAATCCTAGTTGCTTTACCCCCTTTCATTCTACCCACTGCCCCATGCACTTCCCCCACACTTACAACTGGTTCTTCCTCACTCCTATAAGGTGTTATTCCTCCTTGCCCTATATACGAAATCACAGCTTCTCTATCTTCATCAACATTTAACCATTCCTCAAAATATTCCCTCCACCTACCTGATACCTCTAACTCTTTTTAATAACTCTCCTCTCCTATTTTTAACTAACAAATCCATTTGTTCCCTAGACTTTCTCAACTTATTAATCTCACTCCAAAGCTTTTTCTTATTTTCAACAAAATTTGTTGATGTCTCACCCACTCTCTCATTTGCTCTCTTTTTACATTGCTTCACAACTCTCTTAACCTCTCTCTCTCTCTTTCCATATACTCCTCCCTCCTTGCATCACTTCTACTTTGTAAAAACCTCTCACATGCTAACTTTCTCTCACATACTACTCTCTTTACATCATAAGAACATAAGAAAGAAGGAACACTGCAACAGGCCTACTGACCCATGCGGAGCAGGTCCATGTCCCCCCCCCCCCGATTAGCCCAACGGCCGACCCCCTTACCCCGGATTAGCCCAATGACCCACCCAGTCTGGTCACCTCCACTCAAGGAAGGAGCATGGCACGAGACCTAGTAGCACAAGCTAGTCAGGTCCAACTTGCACCCACCCACACCCATTCATGTATTTATCTAACATATTTTTAAAACTACATAATGTTTTAGCCTCAATAACTGTACTTGGGAGTTTGTTTCACTCATCCACAACTCTATTACCAAACCAGTGCTTTCCTATATCCTTCCTGAATCTGAATTTTTCCAACTTGAAACCATTGCTGCGAGTCCTGTCTTGGCTGGAAATTTTCAGCACGCTATTTACATCCCCTTTATTTATTCCTGTTTTCCATATATACACCTCGATCATATCCCCCTAATTCTACGCCTTTCGAGAGAGTGCAGATTCAGGGCCCCTCAGTCTATCCTCATAGGGAAGAATTCTGATACATGGGATCATCTTTGTCATCCTCCTCTGTACGTTTTCCAGAGCATTTATATCCATTCTGTAATACGGTGACCAGAACTGAGCAGCATAGTCTAAATGAGGCCTAACCAAGGATACATAGAGCTGAAGAACAACCTGAGGACTTCTATTATTTATACTTCTAGATATGAAGCCAAGAACTCTGTTAGCTTTATTGTGAACACTAATGCACTGTCTTGGTTTTAGATTACAGTACTACTAACCAGAACTCCTAAATCCTTTTCGCAATCAGTAGTATTAAGATCTACATTATTTAGTTTATATGTGGCATGGTTATTTACCTGTCCAACATTTAGAACTTTGCATTTGTCAGTATTAAACTAGCTATCTGTCACTTCTCCGACCATTGCATCAGTCTATTCAAATCATCCTGGAGTGCTCTAGTGTCCTCATTAGAATGAATTGGATGGCCTATTTTGGTGTCATCAGCAAATTTGCTTATGTCGCTATTTATTCCCTCACCTATGTCGTTTATGTAAATTGTGAACAACAACGGGCCCAACACTGACCCCTGAGGAACACCGCTTGTGACGTGCCCCCATTCTGATTTCTCCCCATTTATGCAAACATTCTGCTGCCTATTTGTCAGCCATGCCTCTACCCAGGAAAAAATTTTTCCTCCTATTCCGTGTGCCTTAAGTTTCCTCAATAGCCTCTGGTGTGGAACTACCAACTCTACCAATCGCTCTTCTTCCCTCTTGCACCCACTTTCCTGTAACCACAAACTTCTGCTGAACTCTACTGCTGAACACTATGTATTCTGAAAATTATCCCATACATCTTCCACACCATTGCCTATACATGTACTTACACTAGCCCATCTGTCCTCAACAGTTGTTTATATCTTACCATAACTGCCTCCTCCTTTAGTTTATAAACCTTCACCTATCTCTTACTTGCTACTTCCATTTTCCTTGTATCCCATCTAATAAATGAGGGCAACAATTAAATTAGCATTACAAGTGTCTATGACCATTCTATAAGTGGAAGGGTTGTGGTTATGGAGACATTAAATAATGGAAATGATGGGCATCATGTCTATCTTGTAACAATGGGATTTTCACCACTGTACAGGCTCTTGACTGTGGAAGACTGAAAATCTCACACACACAAACGTAACTCCCGGTGATGACTGGGATCAAGTGTAGAAACAGTAGTGGGGTAAGCTAAAGAATATAATTGGTCACAATAGTCTAGTTTAGATAATTATTATTTATTACATTCATGAGTAAGTGCTAAACTCTTAGGGATCATACAGCATTCAGGCTTGACTCGAGGAACTGAGCATATGTACAATTTCTTAGATCAAAAGCCCTCATCAACATCAAAGAACCTCTGGGGGGAGGGGGGGTTAGTTCAGGTAAGAGTAGGATTGAATGAAGATGATAAAGGGTTAGTGTATCAGTCCTCCACAAGAAAGATAAACTAGAGATTCAATGCAGTTCAGATAACTACGACAAACAGCTTCCAGGAAAGTTACGTTAGATTTTCAGGACATTTGGCAATCCAAACAAGACAGAAATTTGACTATCCTATTCAGGTATATGGGAGACATACAGGTATATAATGTTACGAGGGATAATAGAAGAGCCTTGATATGTTAAACCCTTATTTACTGGAAGTTACAATAAGAGGAAGGTGAAGTACAAAGAGAATGCCATTAGAGGGTTAATAAATAATAATAATAATAATAATAATAATAATAATAATAATAATAATAATATTTAGTGAAGGGATTCGGGGAAACCGGTTATTTTCATATAGTCAGACTTGAGTCCTGGAAATGGGAAGTACAATGCCTGCACTTTAAAGGAGGGGTTTGGGATATTGGCGGTTTGGAGGGATATGTTGTGTATCTTTGTACGTATATGCTTCTAAACTGTTGTATTCTGAGCACCTCTGTAAAAACAGTGATAGTGTGAGAGTGTGGTGAAATTGTTGAATGATGAAAGTGTTTTCTTTTTGGGGATTTTCTTTCTTTTTTGGGTCACCCTGCCTCGGTGGGAGACGGCCGACTTGTTGGGGGAAAAAAATAATAATAATAATAATAATAATAATAAAACAAAAACAACAATAAAAAAAAGT